CGATGCATCAAGGCCGATGATTATTCTAAGGAAGGTGTTTGTGTGTTGAATCGCCTCTTGTTTTTGAAGTGCAGGTGCGTATCGCCTCAGTAATGGGTGCCTCGAGGAAAGAGCAGGACGTGAACAATTACAGTATTGTCGAAGCCTCGCTGGTGAGGCTGCACCATTATTCAAGCTCCCTTATCCAGAGGACTTTCCTGAATGACTTCAACTTCAATTTGCGAGAGCCAGTCTTTCTGCCTACTTACCTACTTTTCCCCCATTTTGCGACCTTCCATTTACACCATTCTTCTCGCATTACCAACGTGAGGCTCTCGCGCCTCCGTATTCGCACGCATCACGACCTTTTCACGAGTGACTTTTTTCCTCGTCTGGCAATTTTCGCTTTCCGAAACCTTTCCCGAGAACATTTCGTAAACTTTTTTACTCGTTGTAGCAGCAGCACAAAATGGCGGCAATTACAGGAGATACCCCGTTGTTGGCAACTGCTATCGGAGATACTCACCACATGGAAGTTGACGACGAAGCGACTAATAAGGTATGTTTATGGGAACCGTGCATTAAGCTTCGCCAATGCTAACTGATCAGCAGCCAAGTCCAAGTAGTAGTGCTGGAGGTGCTACGTGCACCCCATCCCATTCTCCACTCTGGGGGAAACCCCGCTACTCCTCCGAAGGACGCGGAACCGCGCTTTCGCGCCCCCAGCCTCTGTACCAGCCAACGACTCCAACCAAAGCGTCACTCGGCTCTCTCCAACGTTGTTCCGTCACAACCCAACAATCGCCCTCTGCGAAAACGCGACTATGCGGCCTGGCCGCGTCAATTCATAGGGATCAAAGCCGGAAGCCGCAGTCGACCATGGCCGAGGCCCTGCTGGGCCTCGCGCCCTCATACGGAAGCGCGTCGAGGAATAAGCCGTCAATTGCGCATCCCGATGACATCCCCGCCCAACTCCGTTGCGAACTCGATCGAAAGAAGACACCCACACGATGCGAACATCTTTCTGTCATACTCGAAGTGCCCTCCACCCTCGAGTTCGCTATTCGCGATGGCGATAGCGATGCGCAGGAGAACATCGAACCAGCGTTGGGCGGCCTCCGAACCCAGGTCGTCGAAGGTCAAAATGTCAAGATTATACGCGCCTACGACACCATTATCAGCCAGCCCCACGACAACCCCGTGATACAGAGAGCCGTAGCGAAGCATATTGTCGGGCTTCTTTCTGTGGTGGATGAGAGCACATGGGTGGTTAGGGAGGTTTCGCGCGGCCAGTACGGGTGGTCTTTCACCTACAACTGCAAGGACTCTCTCGTGACTTGGAACCGGCAACATCAGAAGACGCCAAATAAGACTATTATAGGAGAGTATAGTCAGAAGGAGCTTGAGCTGGAAATACAAGGTAGGATATTGCGTCTCCGAGGGCGCATGTTTTGTTTGCTAACAGCCACCCAGCCCGGCCAGCTTTCGATTGTCGCGGAACACTTACCGTTGCATTTTCGAAGAATACTCGAACCATTAAAGTCAAGTACGAACACACGCCTCTGCACAAGACTTTGGGCGAGATGATCGAGCACTTCAAACCCCTTCCTCCGGCAGCACCTCCAGCACCTCTCATTCCCGCTGGGGAAAAGTCCAAGAAGGCGAAAACGCCGCGAAAGCGAAAGAGCGAGGCCCTGAATCCGGACGGGACGCCTGTTGAGCCAAAGTCGAAAAGAAAGAGGAAGAGCGAGGCGCTGAATCCAGATGGGACACCTGTTCAGCCGAAGAAGAGGAAGAGGAAATCGGAAGCTGCAAAGGACGCACAAGCAGCTGGAGATGCTACCAATGGCGAAGCAACAACCACTGTTCCGACCAAGGCGGATGCCGCTGTTCAAAGCGGTGTCCATTCACATGCGGTGCTGAATGTGCCCCCCGGCGAAGCGGCTAGGCGCCGCGAGGTCGCCATCAGACTCCTCAGCGACAGCGGCTTAGATCCCGAGAGTCTTTCTACAGAACAATTTAGCATCTTTGCCAATCAATCTCCGGAACTCCAGAAGGAGTCTCTTGCCATGCTGGTCAAGTATGGTGCTGAGCGACTCCGCATCGTTCATCCCAACGATGCCGCTGCGTCTTCAACCAGCGCGTCACCCACGCCTCAGCAGGGAACAGCACAGGCTGACGTCACGACAGCCACATTGGAATCTCCGGCCTCAGGCAAGAAGAAGAAGCGGCCTCGAAAGTCGAAGGCGGCTGAAGATGCGGAAGAAGTGGAGTTGATTCCGGCACCCCCAGGCACGCCGATGAAGCTGATTTCAAGGGGTGGGTGCATTGCTTGCAGAAGAGCAAAGGCCAAGGTACGTGAATCTCTCCCGTTGAGCTGTCTAGTCAGAGAGACTAATGTGTTCCAGTGCGATCGCGCCAAACCTGAGTGCGCTTCTTGTGAAGAGCAGGGTGTGGAATGCCAATATCCTCTGATTAATAAAATGCCGCCAAAGAAAAAGGAAGAGAAGTCTGTAGCTGTAGTGGAGGACGATGACGACGATGACGACGCCGAGGCCGAGGTTGAAGCCGAGACCGAACCGGCGGAGCCTGAGATCGAAGTTGAAGAACAAGAACCGGACGACATTGAGACGATCGACTACACTTCGAACATGCCAGTTGCCAACATGCTCACTCCTGCTGCGCAGGCTCCCAGTCAGGACTACTTCAATGATGGGCCAAACGAAATGACCTATACTCATTCCGCCTCTAACGATATGAACATGTCACACGGTGTCTCATCATACCCCGAGCCTTCTGCCACCGCAAATTACGCAGAGCAGCAGGCAGTCTCTGCGAGCTTTTCGCAACAGTCTCTGACCGGCACGGCAACGTACACTCAACCGAGCACAGACGTGAACAGTTATACGACCGCCAGCAATGACACAATGTCGAGTCTCAATTACTCCCAACCCGCGGCTAAGAGCCCGAGAGCGACGAGGACCTCTTCACGGCGCAGTTTGCCATCCGGACCAGGACAGCCGCACCAGCCCGCGGCCGAAAGCCCTGTTCCTCTTCCCAGTTACGCACAAAACTGGCAAAGCATTTCTCCTCCCAGGACAGCGAACACAGTTTCGCCTACCATGACGACCAAGCAACACAGGCCGCGAAGGTCGACCCAGATGCCCGCTGCGACCACGGTCGCTCCCCAGGAAACATCCTACCGCAACACGCAACAGGCTGTTGCTCATGTCGCTGCACAGCAACAACGGCAGCACCGTCCTTCCCCGACTCAGCAAGCAGCTCAAGTAGTGCAAACAGTTACCCCGGCCCAGGTCTCGCCATTCCAGGCCCCTGTACAAGCAGCCCGAACTAAGAGTCGAGCTGGACAGAGAGCCTCCACTCGTACTCCTGTCAATGAACCCCGTGCAACACCCACCCATCATACCGTCCAACCATCGACTTCAGCGACGATGGACTCTGCAACTTACAATGATACCCAATCCTTGAGCAACTACAACAATTATAATACGAAGTACACCAGCCAGAGCAATAACTCGACAGAGTTGGACACCACAAGACTCGCCTACCAGCCTTACGCGGCACAGAACACATCTGCGACAACATCTACTTACCCTTCGTATGACTACGACAGGACCAACACCACTGCGCATACATCCAGCAACAACGCGCGGTCCGGACAGTTGTACAATAACCAATCCCAATCGCGCAACGCGCAATCATATAATAATGCCAACACCAACACCGCAGCGGCGGCGAACACATACGCTCAACATCCATCGACGAACCAGCAGCAGTCGTCCTCCCTGCAGTCGTTTAACATGCGAGGTTCAGCAGCGAGCAGCACTCAGCCAAGATCGTCCTCTCAAAATGCAAATCAGCAGCCGCAACAGCAGCAGTCACAGTCGCAACCGCAGGCGCAACAAACGCAATCGTATGGATCTTACGCAAATCAGACGCAGCAGCAATCAACTCAACCAGACCAACACAACTGGTATGGCTTTGGCTCGGGATCTAACACTTCTTTCACGCCAGCCAACGTCGCTGGAGGCTATGCCACGAGAGGTACCACTTCCGCCAACTACGGCAGTGGGTCCAGCACCTCTAACCAAGCATATCAGCAGCAACATGGCTCTCTTAACATGACGGGTCATAGTTACTCTCCCGGAGACAATGAGATGTACGAGTTGTTGAAGAACTCTCTTCACGGTCCAGGTCGTTAAACGAAGACGGCTGACTGACCGTCAACTTGTTTGTGGTTTCCTGCGGTACGCGGTTAAGTGTACATACTACATACCTACTCTGCCACTTTAGCAAACCTGCTTCTTAGCAACGGATATGGGCGTGCGTGGGCCGGAAAAGCCTGAAGGACAGGCGGTCGGAAATTTTATCTTCACGGGAAAGGACTTCAGTTTTGGTGGCACATCACCCAAAGGTGGCCCACGGGCACCTTATTTGTTACTTGTAGTTTATCTGGCCATCAGTCAGGGTCTCGTGGATGAGATTGACTGGTGGAGTTGCATTAGGATCAATGAATGAACATGTGCTCGTAACATGGAACCAACTTTTTGTGATGTGCCTTGTATGTAGTGTCTGGGGCGCAGATTCGTCCCTGTGGAGATACTCGAGGTACCATGCCACCTCAATTTCGCACCCCTCATCCAATTTTGGAATACAGCATGCTTCATCTGATTATGGAGCCTGTCTTCCAGTTGTAAACCTATCCCGTCTTGCTGAGTATAAGGACTATGGCTTTGCATAGTTCTGCTGTGGCACCTCTCATCCGATGCTGTATGGATTCGAGATGGAGAAGGCCGTGTGTCAAGGTCACTAAACACGTTACACGCTCCATAATTGGAGAAAAAAGCAGACGGTTAGGTTCTGGGGCGGATGATCATCAGTTAGGGAACAATGCTGACATTGTTCAGACGGACTTCAAAGAAAACCTGCAGATCAGTCCAATAACTTCACATTGAGAAGCTGCTATTTATGTCTGAGTCTCGGTAAACACCAGCTAGTCCTCACTGTATCTCTACCGGTTCTAGATCTTCCCAATACGCTTTGATGTCCGGCGTGGCATTCCTCTGCACTCTTCCAGCTTCAAGTGTAAAGTGAGTCTTCCCCAGCATGTCCAGCCAGCTATTCATGCTCTTGGCGCGGTCATCCTCGCCGAACCCGGCAAAATGAATCAAGAAGTCGCCGCGTCTCGTCTGCCAATCCGAGAGCCCCTTCTCGTCATTCCCCTCGAGATACGTGGACGCCTTGAGGCTGCCAGGATACGAGTTGAACCAGGTCTGAGGGACCATCCGTACCCCCTTCTTAAATCTCTTCTCCTTGATCAAGATCTCCATGGCGCTCTGCTCCGTGAATCGCAGCTCCGTGCCGGGCCTGAAGTGCCGGAAGGCCATGACGGCGCTGAAGAGCTCGATGGCCCATTGACCGACGCGGAGAAGAAAGACGCCATTGTTGAGGCCGTTCCAGTCGTCTGCCGCTACGAGGTGTACATCTTCGTCTTTTAGGGCTGCTGCGTGGGCTTTCGTGCTGGCAGCAACTCGGTTACGCAGCCGGGGTGGAAGGAAGCTCGATATCGGGCGGCATTGGTCGAGGATGATCGTGTCACGGTCGACCCAGAATAACCATTCCGTTCGCTCTTCTGGCGGTTTGAGCATCTCGTCGAGTAGTAGAGATAGTATGTAGGCTGGCTTGTTCCAGAGGTCGTCAACGACGGGCGTACACATGGCTTCGAGCTCGTTGCCATGGAGCGTGGTATGTAAGATGTGAGACTGTAAGGCGTTCTGGTAGTGTTCTCGAATATTTCCAAATTGCGCCGTCACGGTGGTGATTCGAATGTGGGATTTTGGGTCGTGGAGGGAAGATCGACATGATGACTGTAGAAGTTGAAGGGTTTCTGAGAGGTCTGGGGAGAGTTGCGGGAGACACTGGGTCTCTTTTGGAGGTCGGATAGGTGAGGCGGTGGCGGCGTGTTCGAGTGCCGTGGTGATAGACACTTCATAGTAAGGAAAGATTGTACGAATAGAAGTCAGAATGATGACGGTGGCAAGAAGGGTCTTGATGAAGATGGGTGACAGTACAAAGGACAGAATTTTCGGCTGATACATGACGAGAAAGGAACGCATTGTGAATTTGATTCTTGTCGATATACTGGAACCTTTTGAATCTGTATTTTCCTCTACTTTATATTATATCCTCAACCAAAGCCTTCATCGCGATGGGTCTTTCGGCCTCCGTGATGTCCAACCATTTCTTTGACAATGATACATGTTATCTTCGTCCGTGCCTGAATTAGAACTCGTGTTCTTGACATCCACGCGGCCATCTACCGAGCGTTTCTCCACGACAGCGCATTTCGAGGCTTTGTAGCGGCTTTGGGTGGGATAGCTCAGCGGCCTCAGGACCCATGATATTCCGCCAATGTTAGGGACAAACATTGTGGCGATCGGATGTTTCGCCGAATTTGAAGGTTCATCCCTATCAATGGCCTGTCAAAACTCTACATCAAAGATTTACGCCTATTTTCTAAGTCACAAATAACCGTAAATCCCTTGCGGATCCTCTTCGTGTGCCGCCCTCGAGTTTATGTCCCATGGATACACGTGTGGTAAGGGTCCAGTAAAAGAGACTACAACGTTACAAGGCTTGTGCTTCGGATCGCTCCGAGTCAAGTTTCGGGCCAACGATTCACACGAGCTTTCTGTCCTATTCGGGGAATTCTTCGCTCGACATGGGGTCTATCGCCAACCATGTGATACGGAACCGAAGAAAAAGGCGGAGTAGAAACCACATCAGAAATAGACTACGGACTTCTTCCACCAAATCAGGAAGATTTCCAGTTCTGACTGGAAATGTGCGCCATCCAAATTATGGGTTGGATTGACAACATAACACGAAGCGTACCCAACCTGTCCACGCGGCTTGTGTGGCTTAGCCCGGGGTTGCGAAAGCCCACAGTTAGTGGTCGCAACACGAACAACGAGTCTCATTAATTTTATTCCCCGTACTTGGGTTTGCTCATCTTGATTTCGAAATCGTGATTCAACAATGTTTCTTGTTTTTTCAGAAGAAAGTTGAGGTTGAGACGGAAGAAAAGACTCTCTCAGATGACAAACACGTTATGCTAGACAACTCGATTGAATGCGAGTATATCCGAGCAACTCGCACCGCATATCATCACAGGAATGATAACTTGAGATTGGTAAGAAAAAGATCTTAGACTGCTGCCTAGAGTACGAGAAGAGTTATATTGCAATTAGGTGTCCGGATGGGGCAGTTGCTGTGGTAGAACCGCAGTGTACTGGGTTAGTTGGTGTAAAGACTTTCCTTCTCGGGAACCGAAATCCGAGCCGCAAAGGTGGAGAGATAGGAGGAGATGTGGGAAGGCTCTAGGACAAAACCAGTTATCGCAAGCGATCATTAGCGACAGCCCTAGCTGTGCACGTCTAGCACACCTAGCGATGGAGAGTTGGTGTCACTACGGAGAACATGTGCTTGAGATGAAGACAGACCTCTCATCACAGACTTGTTTTGTAAAGTATATGATAGTGCAGTTGTCAATATTATCCGCTTCATCGTTGAAGCCTTGCTTTCAGATCAGATGAAACCTGCTGGATCAACATTTTTTTTGGAAAGAAAGCAAACAGCTCGCCATCTGCTGCGGAAGCGTGCCCCGGAAGTCATGTCGACACGACTTAACTCAGTTTCTATGTGGCAATCTCCACTTTCGTCCTCAAGGCCCGTATTCAGGGCCTAGTATCTTCGGTAGTCTCTCAATTTCTAGTCTTGGCAGACTTGAATCTTTTTCTTCGATGAATGAATCCTGGTTGACAATCCGCTTCGAAGAGTTGAGAGTATGAAATCCACAACTATTGTCCTCAAGGTCTGACATGGCGCAGTAACTGTGAGCTTGCTCCACTGTATTTCATGTTACTGCCTAAGTTGTTGTTCAAGGTGGCTGTGAGGTTATCAACCACAGTCCACACCCATGTTAGCTCACTCATTCACTCTGACACTCATAAAGGAACACCTCGGTGGCCTGAAAAGTATCGATATCAGAGGTCAACTGATATTCCTGAAAGTACCAAGATGCATCGGATGTCTAATTTCCAAGATGCAGCAAAAATAAACAGCCCACCTTGATTATGCTGACCACCATTCCCCGCAGACCATGCCTTACGATGTATTAGCCCCTCAAGCAGACTCGATCCAAATGCTTTCCGTGATTCCAATCAATACTTGTCTCAGCTGTATGGAGTACTCGTCCCACTATCTGATCTCATTCGTATCTCATCCCCTCAATAGGGTCGCCGATATCTCTGCTTGAGAAAGAGCAATGCGGGACCTCAGAACCAGGTTCAGACACAACACCCCAGCGCAATGCCTTTGTCCACATTTCTGGCTCTTCATCCGGTGCTGGGTGGCAAGCCGCAGATATTGCAGCGCTGCAACTGACGGCCACCGGAATCCCGCCATAACGCAAACGCCGAAATCCTGTTGCAAGAAGAAACACCGCCATGATCGTACCCGTCACAACCACGCATATGATGCCAATTGGTGACCACCCGCAGGACGTAACACTGTCGATCTTCTTATCGTGAGAATCCCAGATCTCTATGTTCACCAGGAATAGGCTTTGGGAAATGAGCCAATGCATCGCGCCGGAGAACACAGTGAGCGGAAGGGAGTATCGATACGGAAGTTGTAGGAAGTATGCCTGCCGCTGATCACCTTGCCGGTGAGAAGATACTCTCAGACCCTTCTGCTCTTTCCCAAACCTGTCCCACTCGGTAATTAGGGATATGCTTGTAAATAGAGCGTTGAAGTTGAAGTAAATCAGCGACATGACGGTTTGTGGCGTGTTGGCAAGTAGGACATTGGCAAAGAGGGTGTTGCTAGTCTTGCTATTCCTGTTCATGATTGTGTCAGTATGAACTTTCCCGAGCCCATACTGAGTGATCTTGCTGATGCTGGACATCGACCATAATAACCAAAAGAGGTAGCCATTGAGGAGGAAAAGGTATCTGGCTCTTGTCAGCGACCCGATGTCACATGTGAGGATGTATAGAGGAAAACGCCTTACACTGCCGTAGATACCACCCATCGATTATAGCCCGCAGCAGCGAATTTACGCTTTCGTTTGAAGCGAAACTTTGTTCGACTTGGAAATCCTTCTTTGTTTTTTATAGCACGAATTCTCCCTTGATCTTCCATACTCGCCATAGATATAAGCCCCATTGCCCTCGTGGAATCATCTTCTTCCATAAGAAAGGACTCTATAGCGTCACCTATAGTCAAAATCGGCGTTTCGCTGCTTCCATATGCAACAAACAACATCATGATAGCTTTGATCAAATTGAGAACAGTCACGGTCCAACAGAGGCTACGACTGAAAAGCAACTTGCAATGCTCTTTCGCTTGCTGGTTGTAGCAACCGCGAATATCATAATTCAGTATCCTGTCGCCGTAACCGTCGAAACCCGGAAGTTGCTCTTCGCAGGTATTCGTTCCGTGCTGCAAGCACATCCATTCAAGTGGATTCGATTTCGCGGAAAGGGATGCCGCGCTATCCGTACCATTAAGAGCCGTCTTGCTGGTTGCGAATACCACCAGGTCACCTCGCGAAGACTGAAATGTAGGTTGATACTCATCACGGCATTTGCGGTAATCGAGATAAGTAAAATGTCCCTCGTTATGTTTTGGTTCTAAAAGAATCTCGTTCGGAAGTTCGCCCGGAAAGACACGAGGGATTGCCGTCAAATTTTGCCGGATGAAGGTGTCTTGACTTTTCACCCAAATGCGGTAGGAATTTGTGGAAGTCGAGGTGAATATAATCGAGTTGTAACTACAGAGTAATCAGATTAACATGGCTCATCATTGGATCGAAGATAAATGTACAGTAAATGCAGTGGAAACGAGGACGTTGCTAACAACAGCCACAATATTTTTCTCTTCGTAGCAATGCTCGAGAAGTTCCGAATGCTTGGAATACCGATATCCAACCATGTCCGTCTCGCGTGGGCGCTGTCTATCTCGGACCGAGTTGGTGCAATCAAAGCCTGCATGCAGTAGTTGCTTCCCGCCAGTAAGATGGTACTGACGACATTGATAACGACATGAATGCCAGTGTTGAAGCTTTTGATGCTCTGGCAGCTGCCGTTTGCTATAACTCCAATATCGGGTGGCATAGTCTCGCTCGTGTGATTCATGGCCCAAAGGACGAAGGAAAGATTGATGATGAAAGTGACGAAGGCAGCGGCGGCAAAAGCGAGGGCGCTTCTCCTCCAGCGGCATTGAGGAATGGTCCCTCTCACCCAGAGTGCAAAGCGCAAGGCGGCCATTCCAGAGACTCTAACGAAATTACAGTAGTTTTGCGACATGGTTATGAGAAAGAACATCCTCCAGCGAAGCTTGAAGGGACGCTGTCGCAAGTAAGATACCTCCCAAATACTGACACTAGATGCAGATACAGCGGGTAATATAAAGTATTATGTGTGCCGTCTTGGTGCGATCCGCTCCGCATTAAGAATCAGGCTGTGATGTCCAAGACTACTTCACGCTACTAGGTAAGGCACTCTAGGCTATGATTACCACAACCCAACAGCCCGCATCGACGATCCCCAGCCACGTTACAAATGACTGTCTTGGAAGGGCAAAGTGGCTTCTCTCAGGCAATAGCCAAGGGTAGAAGTTCCATGCAGCACATCAGGTTCGTTTAAGTCTTGGCTCTCATCCTGCCCTGCAGGCACGTCGTGGCCTCGTTTGGCTCCTCAAATTCCTGCGCCACCCAACGGTCAGGCACTTTTTCCCCATTATAGTCTGAAGTCTTATGCCCATTAATGAGCCAGCCCTACCAAATATGAGGAAGACAGCTGTCACGATGCGATCAGGATAGAAACGTATGTGCTAGATGCTCACGAGCCTCCAAGTGGCGTGTGGCCCTCGATCCGAGTTCTTAGGGGAGATTCGTCTCTATCTCTGGAGCGTGAACTTGTCATTCATATTGACATTGATCGGCCTTGTAATCTAATTTGATTCCCATCGCATCTACTTCCTGCGTTACAGTCGAGACCTTGTAGCACGAAAGCTCCTGCCGGCCAATCTGATCATTCTGATGTTGGCATCGTCTTTCGAAATTGGGTCGCCAAGAGAGTGGCAATGACGAGCTATTGATACAAAACGATGCTGCATGCAGACGGGGCTGGAAAGAGAATCGCCCGGCCGGAACCATATTTCAATTTTGTCTCACAATGGCAGGCAGGTAGGATCCCGCAGCTGACGTGAGAAGCCCCTCTAAGCCAATGGCTCAACACATACCATTCCGGAATGCGACACATTGATTTGGGCCTGCAAGATATTTGGTTATTGCTGTCTCTAGGTGCATATGTGGGATTTTCTCCGATCCTTTTTGCCACCTTGGAGGAATAGGGACGCATGTATCATGATAGAGTTGGCATCGCGGCATATCGAGACAAAGATATGTTGCATGCGCCCACCTCAATAAGTAACCTAGCTACTTTGAAAATGCCTAAGGGCTGTAAGGCAAACCGACCCTAAAATCCCTCGTCACATATTCACATCTGAATATCCTCCCCGCTTGAAGTGACAGAGTCCCAAACAAAGACATCAATGATGACTGTCTCTAAGACGAGGCCAAGTACAGCCATCGAATGTGGCGCGCGAGTGCCTGTTGGCAGCATACGAGATGTGTCCGCGCCCGCGCCCGCAAATACGGGTTGAGCCCAGGTCCCAACACTTCACCACGTCTTCATGATGTCAGCTCACCTCACCATCTCCATCAGGCTCAAGGCTGTCCAAGAACCCTCTTCAGTATCAGTACAGTTTGAGCCTGACTATCACGAGCCTTCCCACGTGATCATTATCCCCTTTACGTACATAGGCACACTCGACCTTTTCCTTTTCCGCTTCCACGTACCTTCACATCTCCCCACATCATCATCTGTAAGTCCAACGCCCCTTTTCAGGTTCCTATTGAGAGGTAATCCTCGTTTGTATATGAGCTAATCAGTTGTTCGAAATTATCTGCACGAACGCTGCAACGCTCTTGCCCTTCTTATATCTCCAGCGACATTAACGTGCTAGTAGTAAGTCTTTTTAGGCTCGAAAGGTATGCACTGGTGGGCAAGGATCGGATACTAACCGGCCACTCAAGTTATGTGCCTAGGCTCGAGCCACGGGAAGTGTTGAGTTGGAGCCATAATATTTAAATGCATTAATTCAACGCTATCCTGACTCCAAAAATGTATACCAAAGGTGTCGAAGACTGGTATCTAAGTGTCTATGTATATGTCCCCAAGAGTTATAACGCTCCGATCCTCTGCTTAAGCAGAGCAAGTCCACTTAAGGGGGTCGTTGAGGTTGACCGCCTTGGTCTTCTGCTCAGGGCAGATCTCACGGTCCAAACCGCAGTTGGTCGTGCCGCACCAGTTGTTGTTGTTGCACAGCCAGACGCTGTAGCTCCAGACGTGGCGGTCAAAGTCCTTCTTGCAGCGGTTGACCTTGACGTTGTACTTCTGGTCGGGGCCGAACTTGTCCAGGGGGACGTAGGCCCAGTTCTCAGTGTTTTGCGCCCACACTATTAGGGAGGTTTTGTTAGAGACTTTGATTCATTGCAGAGTTGCATCCGGCCCGAGGGTTGGGGGTGGGGTAGGATGTAGGAAGAGATTGACTTACTTCCAAAGGGACCACCGTTGGAGTTGCAGTGCTGACGGACACCGATCTTGGTGAGACCGGCCTGGGCGGCGGCGGCCTTGACGCCGGCGTCGATGGTGAAGGTGTAGTAGGAGAAGTCCTTCTCGGCGCTCAGAGGGGCCTTGATGCAGGCGGCGCCGGAGGTCTTGGGAACGCGGCGCTCAAGGCCGGTTCCGTGGGCCTCAAGCATCGGGGTGGGGTTGGCGACGACGGCGGAAGCCATGAGCACGGCGGCGGAGAAGAGCTGGGTGATCTGCATGGTTGCGGTGTGTTTTACTTTAAAGAGAGTGGTGGTTTTTTGGAGTTGAAGGTAAGGACTGGAATGTCGTATGGTAAAGACTGGACGGTTGTTTGGATGATGAGACTATTCGAGACTTCTCATTCACATTCTGGCAGGCTTTCCTTTATAATAATACAACATGACCGCAATGTCGAGCCAAAGGAACTTCGCTCGGAGTAAACCGAGAGTTGAAGAGTGTGGTCGCTTGGCGCCAAGACTCACGGACACTGAAGAAAAGTGTAGATCAATCTGTAAATTACACCGATCATGGCGGCGAGGCGGTGCGGGTGCACGTACCAAAGCCTGCCAGAACACCTCGCGTCAGTACTCTACTCCGTACTCAGGCGGCAGAAGCAGTAGAGACGCCAAATACTCTCAAAAGTTTCGTCAACTATTCGTACTAAGGAACGATCCCTTTGGACATAAAACCCGTTCCGGCAGCAGAGCTCCAAGATCGACTACTCGTTGCCACTTGAGCGATAACCCCCAACGTCGAGCAACTCCGTTGCAATCGCTTCTAAAGTTCTAGTACTCCATAACCTATCCACAGCACGATAAACTCAAAGATTAAGTAGGTCATGTGGGACGTGCAGTGTGGACTCTACTTGTAGAGGACATAGAGGTAAGGCTTCAGACGAACGCATGAATGATTGCCAGTGGTGAAATTTGGTCCTACTATATTTCAGTTGTTCGGCGTCCCCATAGCTTCCAGAACTATGGGCAGTATGTTTGCCAACTCAGCCAATCAGACACTAGAGACTCATGCAAACTCGCGCTCGCACCAATTCAGTACCAGTCAGCCTCAACCAGCTAAAACTCGCCGGTTTTATTTTTGACCACAGGGTGATCGACGGCTATCAGGTGTCATGTCAGGCAAAAACCTGACTCAAGGATGGAGAAGCTCAAGCCCCCAAGCAACCCTCCCCAATCTCCGGGGTGGGCAGCTCAAGCTTCTAGAAGAGTGAATCTCTTCGCCTGATCCGACGAACGATTTTCCCCCAGCGTTGACAACCAACCCTCTTCAACCTTGTTCCCGGACAACAGGGCTTAGAACTCTACTCAGAGACTCTGTCAGCCCTTTTTGCCGCTCTATCCTCTTAAATCCGAGGCGGAACCAATTGAACCTCTTCCTGGGTGTTCAGATGCTCTATCCGTATTGTACTACTCCATACGGATACATCTCGGCGCCCACGCGCCCCGGTCAGCCCTCCCACAGACTGTGGGGTGATCGACAGTCTGATATCTGGACTGAACAAGCTGCGCCTTTCTTTTGGAGCCTTGATTGACACGAACCAGCGCGGTCCCTTGTAGGAAGCGCTATTTGAAATATGTGCATAGTCCGACGGCAAGTCTCCAGTTTCTCAAAGTGCAGAAGGAATGGAGGCGGCAGAGACCCACGCCTCCCTCAACCGCAATCACAATACAACTGAATCACATTGGTCTCTAACGGTAGCCCATGGCAGTACCAGTCAAAATTGCAAGTTGAGTTTTTTCCGATTGAGATGATCAAAATTGGGGCGAGTCTACCAAAGGTCTTGTGCCTCCGATCTGCGCTCAACTTGAGCCCAGCCTGACCGAGTCCATGAAGATGCTAAAGCCCTCCTGTTACCATCCTGAACGCCGCCAATGGACCTGAAAGACGCTACTACTCGCTCTGATATTACAACCCATACAGCCATGAAATGTTTCCCCTTCCATTCCCAAGAACCTCTCTCATGTCCCCTGCTTTTGTTACCGATGCCTCAAAAAGGCTGATGTACACTTCGCCCAGCGCGTACATGTTCGCGCTGGGATATTCACGAGTTTTGCCGTCGCCCCCCTTTCGTCTACTTGGGGGGCCGTGAAGCATATAGGAAAGAGACGTTTGAGGGGTATCATAGAAAAGCAGATGCTTCGGAGTCGAAGGCATAATCATAATGTACGCTTCATGTATGCTGGCCGTGTGCCGCGTCATGTCTAAAGTGCCACCGCGGCAGGCTCATCCGACCGAGACTGGCGTAGCCAGCCATCCGGTGTCTCGCCTTGGTACAACGTCGACGGTGTTCCTTTTCTTCTGAACGATGTTGTGTTCGATTTTGATACAGAGTGGATTGTTTTGTGTGTGTGTATTTGATATTGACTTTGGTCTCCCTTCCTTTGGACCACTTGCGGTCGTGCAACCGGAACCCTCCAATGCAGTAATACTTGTAAATAATAGAACCAATTGTAAAATAGTGATAATGAATGTTTCATCTTTCGTCGGGGGATGCGGTTCTTCTCTTGTCCATTCTATGCGAATTGTCGTTTGTAGACCAATGGCATTTTCCGAACAACATAACTTGCTCTCGTCGCTCATCCCCTGATGTTGACTTCGCTCGCCTTTATTCCTCAGAAGATCAGTTCCCGCTC